TGCTAAGTAAGTTGCCCAGGCTGGCCTTAAACTTGGAATCCTCCTGCCTCAGCGTCCCAGGTTGCTGGGATTACAGACATGTGCCACTGTGGCCTGCACAATATTCATTTTTAAGTTTTATTTTCAATCGATACATAATAATTGTACAAGTTTGTGGGGTAATGGGTTAAATCTTGAAGGAGACTAGCGCTGGCTGGTTGAAAGAGGAGGAAGGTGGTCTGGGGACAGTGTGCTCAAGGCTGTATGATAGGGTTCAGGGAACAGCAGGTGCGACAGGGTGGGAGGGGTCCCCTGGGACCCCTGGGAGAGGAGGCCCCCTTCTCGCGGGCATTCGGATGTCTCGGGTGAGTGCTGTGTAGACTGTGTGCGTGGAGGTGATAGGGTTTCACGGTAAGACACAACACCATGGGCCATCATTCCTGGGTGGCTTGTTACCAAAGGTCATGCCGCTATGGTTCAGAGTGGTTGTGGGTAACGCAGGGCAGAAGTTAGGTTAAGCACAGCATAAAAAAATATTAGGCGCCTGAGAGTCCAAATTAGATCCATGCTTTCCAAGAACGTCTAATCTAAATTATTTTTTCAGGCAAAAATTTCAGCCACTTCATGAAAAAGCCCTGCCACCATCGTGCTGCCGCACACCCTGCACCTGCAGCGACAGGGAAGGGGAAGCCCAGAGCAGCCACACTCAAGGAGGCACTGGGAGGGGACCTTCCCTGAGAAACGGAGAAAGCCCCCGACTCACCGAGTACGTCTCCACCGCAAAGTTGGGCCCCGGGCTCTCGGGCTGGGAGAGCGTGCCCACGATCTGGAACGTGCCCTCCTTCAGCCTGAAAGATGAGGCTTCCCGGGCAGCTGGCTTTTCATCTTCCTCTTCTTCTTCCTCTGTAATTTCTTCCAGGGATGCTCCAACGACGCAGTTAGACAGGTACTGCAGGAAAACACATTCCCAAACTCTGAGTGCACATGAGCGCAAGGAGAGTCGATGCCTGGCAGTTCCAAACACCAGTCTTTCCCATGGGCTTGCTGGGTGCCACCAGGGCCAAGCTGTGCTCGGCAGACTGTCATCTCAGTGCACTTCCTGCCCACAAAGACCCCCCTGAGGGGTACTGCTGATTGCCCACTCCCTGGATGAGAAACTTTCTGGCAGAGCTGGATAACCCACCCAAGGAACTTCCCTGCATCAGCAATAGGCAGAGCCCACTCTAGTGAAGATGTTTTGTCTTGTCCACTTGAAACAGAAATGGGATGTGAGCCATTTAAGGTTTTTTTAGTAGTCACATAAAAAAAAGTAACGAGAGCTAGGGAGGGATGTAGCTGAGAGGTTGAACACTAACTTGCCTAGCATGTGTGAGGCCCTGGGTTCAAACTCCCAGCACTTAGAAAATAAAAGTAAGATGAAATTAGTTAATTTAATTAATGCTTTATTTAATCCAATAAATCCAAACTACTATCAATTTAATATATAATCAACATATAACAATTAATGAGACATTTTCTTTTTTTTCTAATACTACGTCTTTAAAACATGATATGCATTTACACTTTCGCTGGTAACACTGAAGTGTAACCTATCTTTGGGACAGCCTATCCAACATTTCAGAGTTCCAGATATATATATCCTGTTAGATGTAGATAATCTTATTTTAATTTACATGTTAAACTATGTAAATAATAATGACATTGCTGTACCTGAGGAATGAAAACTAACAAAACCAACCCAAGTCCCACCTCATTTATTTTGATAACACTGCAAGGTGGCATGCCAGGTTGTTAGCTTCAACCTCTTATTGGAAGAGAGTGTTCCAAATACATTTCGTTTGTATCTCAAACATACATAATCAATTTTATTATCCCATGTCTCAGATGAGGAAATTGATGCCCAGCAATAAGTAACTTTTCCAAGATGACGGCTCAGGTGCTGAGAACTGAGAGAGGGATCGTGGGTTGCCAGCTGGGCAAGGGCTCTACCACTAAGCCACATGCCCATCCTTTTTTATTTTGAGGCAAGGCCTTGCTCAATTGCTGAGGCTGTCTTTTGAACTTGTGATCCTGGGGCCTCAGCCTTCTGAGCCACTGGGATTACAGGCTGCACCCAGCCTCCATTTCTTTTTTTGTGTTTCATATTTACATTGCCATGTTGTTTAGTACAGATTAACAGCAACTGCCTGGAATTTGAAAGAGGCCCTGCTTCATTAAGGACTAATCAGAAAATTTTGCTATTGAAAAACTTTTGAAAAAGATCTTTGCATACCACAGAGGTTTTATTATATGTTGTAAAACACAGTCAACATCAAAA